GGGGAGAGGGGAACAGGAGAGGGTGAGAAAATTTGTAGTGTCGCGGATGAGCGAATGTATTCTACCCAGAGGAGAAGGAAACAGGGAGAAAAACTAAAAGTTTTTTTTCCTACGATTCGCATAGATATTCCGCCGAACTTAAAGACACAGTCCGTGATTGCAACTTGCGGCTTGTGGAGCTCAGGAACAGAAGAGTGCACGCTAATTGAAATACCAGGGAAAAGTTAAAGGAAAACCAAGTGAAGACGCTGAACGTCTGGAAAAGAAGCTGATGAGGGAGTACAGCCACGAGCAAGACCACACTGCAGAGAGCGATGGTGGAACAAAATAAGGTGGGCGGAGGCTGACCTCTGTGGGCGGGGCTTGGTCATCGCCTCGGATTCCTGACAAGATTCCAGGTCACTCACGAACCGCAAAAGGGGTACATCCTCTATGATTGCACATAGGGCCACTTCGTACGAGGAAAGGATAGTCAGGATCATCGCAGTTTTCGAGTAGTTCAAACATTATTAACCAAAGAGACACTAACCTTACAAACGAGAACATCCTCGGCGATTTTCTTCACACAGTCACAATAAGTACTGTCGCATATCTCAAAGGGTTTCCTTTGTAGATAACAGACACCATGATCCGTGCAGCACTGCTCATGTTGTCCTGAAAAAGAACATTAATGAGTGGATAGTAAAAAAGTATGATGAAAACAACCGCCATTAAAAAAAAAAAAAAAAAAAAAAAAAAAAAAAAAAAAAAAAAAAAAAAAAAAAAAAAAAAAAAAAAAAAAAAAAAAAAAAAAAAAAAAAAAAAAAAAAAAAATCATGAACTATTCCTAGACCCGAAAAATCAAAAAATTTTTTGCTGAAACGTTGCCTACAGATGTAATTCGATGCGCTGATCACGAATATCACATCCGTTTTGAGCGCTGGCGTCATTTGGCGCCATTATGCGCCGATTATTGGCGCCCCCACTTGAGCCAGCATTTATTTGGGCGCTGGCTCACTTGGCGTCATATTGGATCGCATAAAGGACGCCATGCAATACCATAGCGCCAGCGCTTGGAACCAGTGTGATATTCGTAATCGGGACCTCAACTAACTACTATACGCAGGTTTTCATCAACTTTGGTGAAAAAAGTGGGAGCGCCGCAAATTGGCGCATAAATGGCGCAAAATGATGTCAGCCGGATGCTTATATTTTTTTGTTTTTATTTTCGGGGGAAGGGAGAGGGGGAGTTGCGTAGAGGCGGTGGAAGTAAATAGAAAGACAAGGCGGCAGGAGGTGATCAGCGCATCAAAGTTAACATCTTTAGACCACGTAGCGAAAAAAATTTGAAGTTTTGGGGTGATAAATAGTTTAATAGTGCCTGAAATTTCTACTCGGCGAGAACATGTCTCTATGTGCTGGACAAAATGACGGAGTGCAATCGTCACGAAAACGGCATTGTCCGGCACCAGGGAAGAGCGCAGCCGCCCCGTGTCCCAATCCCCAGGATATTGAGTGTAAATGCTATGAAACATTACCGAGATAATCTCCACAATCCAGTTTAACTACCAGTTCCATGAAATTTGTGGTAATGAGTTCTGTTCCACACAGTAGGCGAGCCTCCGCTGTTGATAAGAGGATGAAGATCACAAGCGGCAACAACATTCAGTAATAACAGTTTCTAAAATATCTAATTGTGTATTTGCGACCAAAGGCCGTTACGAATTTATTTGTCTGCAATGCAAGAATCGGTCCTTTGGAAAGAAAATTTGCTAGCGAAGCGCCGAATAACATCGACTTAACAGGCGCTAGGGTGGTTAGGGGGGGTGGAGTCACTGAGCGTGGTCTTGGCTGCAGCTGGGCTATCCACACCCAGAATCGACTCGACCTTATCATTAAGTCTGGCATGTAGCCCTGACGAAGGCCGATAAAGACGAAACGTTGCCAATGAATTATAAAAATCTTGGACGGCTCAAACTATCCACCTGTTATCCCACACCTATTTTGTATTCGTCTGCACCCTCCTGACAAGACAGCGCTCGCTAACTTTGGTTCTGCTGACGCGGATTAGCAAGAAAAAGGGTGGTGGCTTCGCCTTTCAGTCGGCGGAGCTGCCCAACCCTGCTTTTACTGACATGCGGTTTCAGAGTCAGACTCGAAACAAGGTGGAGCTCCAAGTAAGGCGTATAAGATAGGTGGCATTTTCTACGAAACAGTTTGGATGATAGCTGTTAGGTAGCGACTTCCGCGATCAGCTATCCACCTCAGCTTTATATAGGCGCAAAGTGTCCTGATGCGATACTGAGCAGGTCGCACGAACCGCGATTACACTGATTTGTATGTCTCACAAGTATCGCGGCTACTCATTCTCTGTTACGGTAAACACGGTCCACTGATTGTACGTTTTCTTCAAGTATCCGGCTTACTCATTATCGGGTTACAGTAATCAGGTCCACTGCATTTGAACCCTGATTCATTCTTCTTCCCCATGGTATACAAGTTTCAGGAAACAAGAGGGCGCTAGTTTAATAACTGGGACGTTGTGGTGCAATATCGCCGTACCCCGATGACGGGGAGGGCGTGGTTACTTGATCACGGCCGAGAAGACTTTTTTATGGACTGTTGCCATTTGCGACAACTGTACGCCTGCCTTGCACCGAAACAAGGGCTGAATACGACTGCCTCAACGCGAAAAGATGCCACCTGAAACGAGGCCGTCAATATTTCAGATGAAATAATGCCACGCCTCCTTCATCTACGGGATATGGAGCATACATAGTGCGGCCTGGAGTTACGCATAGTGAGTCTTCTTGTGCTGAGGAACGCCACATCTTCACTTCTACAGAAATCTTTTTCAATGTTCTTTTGCTCTCACAGAGGTGCCCATCTGTGCCTTCTTCCAGACTCAGGATCGGAGGAGCGCAGACAACCAGAGTCGCCATTTTCTATTGCTACCGGATGGTCCCTTCCAACTGCGTTAGGCCGGATTCATAGCAAGCGACACTAGAATTGAAGACTCGACGAGTCGCGGGGACGCGAAAAACCCGCAAAAAAAAGAAAGAATAGTTATCGCCGCAATCAGTCGGGGCGTCTGAATCGGTCACGTTTGATAGAAATGGAGCCGTCGGTGGGCTCATGCCACGCCCCCTGACACGCCCCAACTGATTGCGACGATATCGACATCGCCTTCCCCGTACCTTTAAGATAGAAACCGGTCGAGGTTTCATATGCCTTTGGTGCGCTGTACCAGGATACCCCGCTACACTGGAATAGCGCTGACAGTATTCTATTACCAGAGCTCTTTAGGGAAATCTTGGTGGTTCTAACTTCTGAACCTTTCAATTTTTCTTGATTTGTGATCATATGAGCTGGATCTCTCCAATCTGCCCTTCATTATGCTTCGAGAATTGATGCACGTTGTGACAAGCAATCGAACAAAAAATAGCCGTGCCCGCGTCCGCAGTTGCAGAACATCCGATATTTCGTCTTCGGCATTTTTCTTGTTGATCCTTATGAGTTCCTGTGATTTTTTGGTTCGATTTTCTTTCTATTTTGAGATGCTTGACGAATGATTCAGCTTTTAGTTCCACATGGAAGTCATGTTTCTATCTCTATTATTGCTAAATCTTGCTTATTGCTTATGCTAATTTACGTTTTTATTTTTGCATACGATTTCTTAATGTGCTATGGCTGCATTTAATTCAACGCGATGAAAACGCGTAAGATGTTCTTTAGCGAAGCCCTTCTTCCTTTGTAACTGTGGTTTTATTTTGGGCGTTCTTCTATCTTTGTAATGAAAATTAATACCTTAGAAATACGTGAATTCTTACCAGATTTTTCTGAAAACTTGATCTCGGTTTTGAACGTTTATTCCTTTTGTTTCGAGTTTTCTGTCGTTCACAATTCCTGGCGCTAGTCCGATGTACATCCGCAAACAAATACGATAGTATTAATGTTAACTAGTCAGGATGGGCCAGAAATCGCTGGCAATGGGTATTCCCATGGCCGAACTCCTTAGTTCTCGGCCAAGGCTGAAGATCTCGTTTTAGCACTGAACGCCACCCACCAATTTCGTAGAAAAAAATCGGAGAAATAGCAGATTTTTTGAGAGAAGTCGCTGTTTCTTGGAGAGACACTGGACTAGCGCCGGAAGTAATTAGGAAGTATTCCTCCCGTTTCTATGATCCTTTGATTTAGGCTCTGCCTCGAGATGGCGAACCCTGATTTGTTCCTGGAGCCGCTCGAGAGCAATGACAAGTTGGCCGATAGAATTGGAGAAGTTATCAGAGAAGCACAGGCGGCCACGGATAAGGCTGAAAAGCTAAAATGTCTCACCAAGGTACATTTTCCTCAATAATACATATTTATTTATTTGTGGGCGCAGTGTATCTGCGCTTTATAA